TTACTCCTTTTGTCTCCAATGTTACAGGACCACTGGACAACTAAAACACAACATTTTCAAAAAATATTTCATACTAGTAACAAGTAACAACAAATATAACATATTTAATAAAACTAGTGAGCTAATATTATTGACAAGTATTTAAACTAAATTACAGGACCACTGCTTAATATGACTATGGCATAGTCGTTTTGAGATCAAGGCAATTTTCTACTCTATTGCATTCTTCGAGGTTCCACCTACCATAGTCCACAACCCAAGATTTATATTTTGTCAGGATCATAGAGAAATAAATCTAAAGAATAAAGCAATGACACCAAATAACAAACCCAGTGTCGCCTCTTTACTTTCATTTTTTGGGACCATGCCATTAGACTCAAAATATTTCTTAAATATTTATTCCATAATATCATTTGGTCATGGTGACTTATAGTACCAATTAATCAGCTCACATATAGTACAAGCAAAGCTTAAAAAGTGACAGGAGTTTGAAATGTATATCTGCTATTTTATTATTTAGCCACCCTTTTCACTTTCAATAACATTGTTCTTTCTATTATTTTTCTTATCACCGTTTATCCAGTAATCTAGTCAGATAATGATAAGTAAACCATATACATGCTTATGCATGTATTGAGTGCATGTTTGGATGAGATTAGTGTTAGTAATTTTTTTTTTAAAGTGATAAAAAAATAAGTAATTATTTCTTTGAAATAAGCTTATTCAGATAGATATGCATAAATGTAGATGAGAAAGATTTTCGCTCCTTCCTTCATCAATGATTACAGAAAATTAATGTGTCAAATTCTGTTAGTTGTGGGGGCGAACCGCCTAAAATCCAATAATGGTCCATTGGATTATATTGCTTAATTGCATTTGGAAATTGATTTCCAAAATTTGGTCTTAGAATTCGCTTAAGAAAATATAATTCTCTGTTCATAACTGATAATTGTTGTTTTTGCTTAAGATGTCAACCAAACCAAATTTTCTCCTCCTGGCTAACAATTGCATCTTTAAAAGGACAAAGCATCTTTAATTTTTCTGTCAGCCAAGAGGTAAAATCGTTCATCAATTGCCTGACAGAACGACCCTCAGGAGTCATGATGCCCTTATATTATTGAACTTCACTGGCACTGCCAAGCATGATCATCAATAAATTTTCCGCCATATTGGCTTCAATCTGAAGAGCATTGAGTTTCGTAAGTTTATCGTAGGCACCGCTGCACCAAAAAAGGCTTATTTGGTATGATTATATAATTCACCATATGTTTGATGCAGATGTAGGTTAATAATATATTATATTGTATGCATTTATTTATCTATGGCACAAAGGACAATCATTAGAATAAATACTTGTTCTTAATTTTTCGTATTTTCGTATGAAATGGTTGAGGAACACTGACATTTTGACTTAAGTTATCATATCTAATAACAATAATATGACGACGAAGACCTTCTTTTTTATGGTCTATGGTATGATGACCTACATAACATGATATAGTTAAGATGGGCCTCTTGTTTTATTAGCCCATTACAGCAGGGCCTTAATTGGCGCCTTTAGAACTTGGATCAGTTAGCACTAAAAACTTCAAAGAGAAAGATAGGGTAACTAATAATAATAATAAAAATAAATAAATAAATAGTAGTCGACAAAAACAATATAAAGAAGAGAAAGAGAGGATAATTAGGACAACTTATATCATCGTATCTTATTTTATTCGTTAATTAATATGATACGGTTGTTTATTATGATGAGTTATCGCATTTTATGTAATTTGTTTAAATTTTTTATTTTAAGGAAGTGATGGATTAAAAAGTATTTAGATAGGCACTACTAGAAAAGTGCTTAATATAGATGAATTTTACAGATGGATTGAAATTTATCTGTAATACAGACGGATTTATAGACAAATTTGTGGATTAAAATTTATTTTTTTCTGAAAAATTTGTCTGTATTACAGATGAATTTTAATTCGTCTGTATTACAGATGAATTTTAATCCGTCTGTAATTTGCCCGTCTTTTGGCGCGAAACATTATAGATAGGAATTACAAACAGATTTTTTTGTCTGTAATTTAAAAATAGAAGAGAATGTTATAGCAGGAAATTACAGACAAATTTTTGTCTGTAAATGCAATTGACGAATTTACAGATAAAAAAATTCATCTGTAAGTTGCCACCTGAAATGCATTGTTTCATTAAACTCATTACAGATGGATTTTTCTGTCTGTAATGACTGAAACCCATAAAACCGTGTCTCCCCTTTCCCTTTCTCATTTTTCAGAATTCTCTCTCTCGCTCCCCCTCTCTCTAGGAGCTCAGTGTTTTGACCTTTGCGAGTGATTGGAGCAACAATTTGAAAGTTTTTTTGCATCATTGTATTCCTAATATGATACTCTAACTTTTAATCGGTTTAGTTTTTTAATTTTTTATGTTTTTTAAAGACTTAAAATTTCTAAGATAGAGTTGTAGGATTGAAGATTGTATGACTGGGAGAAGGGCGTAGAGGTCCTTCTCCGAACCTGATTATTGTGTGCTGTAGGATTGTTTGTGTTTGATATATCAATTAATATATTGTTATATAATTTATTAGTTGATTTTAGGTGAAATTTTTATTTTTGTAAAAAAATAGTAAACAAATGTAAGGAAATTGACATGTATTAGGGGAGATTCTGCCAAAATTATATTAAAAATTTCTGTAATGTATTTTAGAAGGTTGAGACCACATTGTATATTTGTATTAGGTTTATATAGTTCTTGAGGAAGATGTTTCTCAGAAATTATCAGTGGATGTATGATAGGTTGCACCCAAGTCGGGGGAATAAAACTTGAATTCTTTGAGGGTGTAGAATAATTTATACGCATCTGTTGTAATTCGCAGCAATTCATCACCAATCAGGTCGTTAGGTGTCCATGTTCTAAGTGCAAGTGTAGAAAGTTTTTGGATATTGATTCAATTAGATATGATTTGTATGGGTGTGTGCATTCAGAGTTATCTTTAACAGTAAGAATGTTAAGCATAAAGTGGAGATGCCTTTATGGCATGGGAGCCGCTTTGCAGACTCCATGTTCCCTGCATCTGTTACTGGAGATGGAGATGCCCCTTCTCTTGCACCTGAGAAAGTGGAGGACATGGTCCGCACTCAAGTCCATGCCCTCAATGAAGAACTTCAGAAGCAGAATGAGGAGATGTGGAAGAGCAAAGAAAGTGCATGAAAGAAAAAGTGGGCAAAGAAAATGAAGAAGAAGATAGAAAAGAAGGTGGCATCGAGAATGCAAAGGAAGGTCCAGATAAAGTAACAACATATGCAGATGGAGCAAATGCATGCTTATTTTAAGCTCATGAGAGCAAGCAGCTCCACACCTCTTCCTCCTCCTCCATCAGCTCCAGCACCACCGATTTTCACCTCCATGCATCATTCCTCTACTGACTCCTCGTCTACTGATGATGATGCTTCTTCGGATGATGACCATATAGATTATTCCCGATGAAGACTTGTATTTTATTTTTAAATGTGTTTATTTAGATGCTTTTTTGTCTTCCTTTATAATAACATTTAAATTTTATATTTTATAAATCATTTTGAAATGTTTAGATGTCAAATCTATAGTTTTTATTTTGTTTATAAATTGTGATAATCAAGAACAGTAAGAAATAACTATCTATATAAATAAAAAATACCAATAATAGTACAATATATCACTGACGAATTACAAACAGATTTTACCATCTGTAAGTTACAGATGAATTTTTTCATTTGTAGGTTACAAACAAATTTTTCCGTCTATAACTTACAGACAGATTTAGAAATTCGTCTATAATTCATTACGATCGAGGATATTACAGACGGTTTATATCTGTCTGTAAATCCATTTGTAATGTTAAAAACTGTCTGTAATGCTCTAAAATTTCATCTGTATAAATAGACTTTTTAGTAGTGAAGATAACTTATTTTTATTATATTTTTATTCATAATTTATAATATTTTTAATATTTTATAAAAATACTTATTTTAAAAATATAATGTTAATATTTTTATAAAAAAATTATATGAGAATTTTTTAATAAAAATATTTTAAAAATATCATTTGTCAAAAAATAATTTAATTATTTTATAAAATATATATTTAAATATTTTTTCTAGTTATAATTTTTAACTAAAAATAAAATTTAATTGTAAAAATTTTAAATAAAATTATTATAATTTAATATCAAATTTTAATATAATATATGCATAAAGATATTTTTTATTTTGAGGGTGTGTATTGAAAAGTAAAAAGTTAAGTTTAAATTAAAAATTATATTAATTTTTATAACAGAGTACTAGTGTTATTTAAATATGATTTTTATTTTGTTTTATTATTTTTATTTATCTTAAATAATAAAAAGAATTACATATTGTTATATGTTTTATTATTTTAATGTATATCAAATATAGAATGTGATAAGAGTTTATTCTTCTTTGATCATATCATATTTTTATAAATTTTTGTGTTCTGTTTTTTTTTTTATCATATTTATCAAACTACTTTTTTAAGAGTTGAACTTAAATATTTACACTTAATAACTTTTTATAAAATATAATATTGATTAATCTAATTATTGAATTGTCTTATAGTATCTTTATAATTGTGTATGTAAATATTATATGTCACATTATATTAATACTATTATGTTTTTATGCTAATTTGTGAATTTTAAAACAGTGTAAAACTGACGAGATTATATATTAATAAATCTATATCTTTGATCCGCATAACTAAAAATTTGAAAAGAAAATAGGAGTATGTTTTTTCTTTTTTTAAAAAGATTTTTTTATTTTTAAAAATAGTATACAATATAAATTTATCCTATATTTTATTTTTAAAACTAGAAAATTTTTTAAAAAGGGGAAACAAATCATAGCATTTTTCAGGAAACCTTGATTTTTTCTAAATTACTATTATACCCTTGATGTTGTACCCATAAACCCTAAATGGCTCACTTTCCTTCTCTTGGCAGCATCTTACCCTTGCCTCGTCTCACTTCTTCCCTGTACCTACGCGCGACAAGGTATGATTTTGGTTCCTTTATTAGGTTATTATTCCCACGCCTTCTTCTTTGCATAATATTGCACAGTGGTGGTAATGGTTGAACATTATGGTTCATTAATTATTATCTACTTTGTTTTGTAATTTTTTCCTAGGGTGCCAAATTTTGTTTAGGTTTCGATAGTGAGATGGAAAACAAGGCAAAGAAAGCTATGAAGAAGAATTTAACAAGGGCTATTGCTAACAAGCCATCTCAGGGTGCTGATTTCTTGGTATGTGAAATTTGAAAACGTTTGCTCTTTATTTTCAAATTTTCCTTCACTTTTTCTTAATTATATTGTTAGTGTGTTGATTTGCTTAATTTTGTTTTCTCGATTGCTGAAGCCCTTGGAAGGTGGTCCTGCTCGCAAGCTTCCCGAGCAGAAGCCGACGGAGAATACCGCAACGGTTTTGTATGTGGGTCGGATTCCACATGGGTTCTATGAGAAGGAGATGGAAGGTGTTCTTGGGCTTTATTGTTTTTCTAGTTTTAGATTATTTTTTTCCTGGGATATGTGTTTATAAATGCTTATTTCAGGTTACTTTGGGCAATTTGGAACCATCAAGAGATTGAGAATTGCGAGAAATAAAAAGGTTAGTGACTTGCTTGTTTACTTGTTTCCTTTATATTTGTGTTTTTCTTTTACACTTGTGAGACTGTGTGAACTTACTGATGATTTGTGGCTTGATGTTTACACTGATCTATTTACTCTAATGTGGATAATGAAACCTAAAAATTTGGGGACTATTTTTGTGGAATGTTTCATTCTGGCAAACCCATGAGTGCACGTAATAAATTTTATCAGGGTAGAGGGTGCTCTCATGAGGGGTGAATCTTGATGCCATCCGTGTATGATTACCTGGCAAAGTATAACTGTCCTCACCTCTCTTGCTCTTTGTGTATGTTCTTGATTTTTAATTTAAGAAAAGGGTCAAAATGCAAAATGCTCAAAGTTGTTAATAGTTAACAGTTGACAGTTCCTCATCTTTAACATTGCACTTCCCTGAAGGAAGTATTTATTTTAAATATTTTTTTTTCTGTTTGGTTCTTAATTTTTGGAAGGAAGTATGGCTTTTGAGCCATCAAGTTATTTGTTTCATAAAATAAATGGATTCAGCTATATTTATTTGTTGTTGAATTTTGTTCTTACTGACCATATCATATCTGTGTTTTGATATTTGACAGACAGGAAACTCAAGACATTTTGGGTTCATACAATTCGAATCTCCTGAGGTAGTAGTTGTTTCAGCTGACTGATTGTTGTGTTGTGGATTGTGGCTATTATATTTGTCATATAGTTCAATTTCTCTGTTCTAATCCTGCCTTGGTTTGTAGGTAGCAAAAATTGTGGCTGATACTATGCACAATTATCTCCTCTTTGAACACCTTCTCCAGGTTTATGTGATACCCCCTGAGCATGTTCATCCAAAATTGTAAGTTATTAATTAGGTTTTTTTATATCTATTTTCTTTCAAGAATTCATCACATGTTTGCTTAATGCTAGACAGTCTGCTTTCTTTTCATCGTCTTTCTTTTCTTTTGTGTAAAAAGAAAGTATTTATTAAAAGACTAGAAGAAAACTTTATTTGAGGAATGGCTTAGAATAGAAGGAAAAAAAAGATGAATTAGGGGACCAAAGCATTCTGATCCCTTTGGATATTGGATAAATAGGTTTATTATCATCTCTGTTCCATAGAAATTCTGTCAGGTTGTAGTATTACAGGCCTGCTAGTTTGGTGACACTTCTGTACAAGATGACTGCAGCCAAGGTTAATCTTCTGACCAAATTAGTCAAAATTGGAATCCTGCATCCGAAAGGAAAGAGAAGCATGTAAACAGTGTAATCATAACGTGGATCATAAGATCTTATCAAAATTATATATATATATATATATATATATATATATATATATATATATATATATATATATATATATATCCTTTGAATCATTACTAACATTTAATTCAATTTAACTTAATAAGGTCACATATAAGTCACAAACTTGCAAATACATGCGAAAAACTCCATATATAATTAGTTTGAAATATTTTAGACATTTTCTCTAAGTCTATCGCTATTATAACTTTTTAATAAAAAAGCGACACACAAAATAACAGGTCTGAGTCATAGCATATAGTCATATACCTGTATATTGTGTGTCCTGACTGATGTGGGGTTTTCCTTTATAGGTGGAGAGGATTCAATTACCGTTACAAGCCAGTGGACATGGTACAAATTCAAAGGGGGCAACATGACAAGGTATCTAATTTTATGGAGAAGATAGTTTATCTTTTGAATATTGTCAGTCTTATTCTCAGTATATACAAAAGTTACGATCTTCATTGATGGCATTTCAGGAAAGAACATTGGAAGAGCACTCGAAATTGGTGGACAATATTTTGAAACGTGACAAAAATAGACGAAAAAAGATAGAGGCTGCTGGCATTGATTATGAATGCCCTGAGATGGTTAGCTTTATGCCTTTATCAATTCTTAGTTGTTTTTATAAAATTAGAGAAGTCCTCTTCTTGAGTTTTGCTCTCATGTTATGTGTAATTGCTGTTGCAGGTGGGTAACCTCCATCCTGCTCCAAAGAAAATCAAGTTTGAAGACTAAGGAGTAGGTACTCCGTGTAGTCTTCTTAGAAGAAGAGATATGCACCTCAGTATATGTTGCGCTCATGCCATCTGTGTGCATGCTACTGTCTTGGTGTGTCTGCCTGGACATATTATACTAATTATGGAAATAGATGATTTTGCTGAATATCCTCTTAAGAATTAATAGAGAATTTAATTGAGGTGGTTTTCTCTTCTCTTAGAAGCATTAGAGGAAGGCTGCTACCTATCTTGTCACGAGGGTTCACAAAAGAAACCGCTGTTTTAGGATTTAAAGTACTAGCGATTAAGTATTGTCTTTACAAGGGCAAGAGCCTTCAATTTTGAGAATTCGTAAACCCTGTCTTTTCAAAGTTATTTAATACAGGCATTATCCATTTCATATATCCTGAACCTTTCTTTTTTTTTGTTTAAAAAAAATTAAATCTTCAATATTTTTGTTAGGATGTGTAAAATTGTTAGTTTGTTGAAACTGAATCATGAAGATCGATAATTATTTGTATTTTGACGATGCTGAGCTCATTTTAGTGGACTGAGTTGACTTGCAATGTATGCTCTCAGTATCTATTTAAGTTATATAAGTTATATTGTGATCATGACCTTGTTGTTTTGTGACTTTTGTTTCTTTTTTTCTGGGGTAAAAACGAAACCTGTGGAAAGTGAAATTATTGTTTTTCAAGGGAGATTTGAAATGTACCTATAACAGAATGGACTCTAATAAATAAAACATACATGGATCACACTAGAGGGTTGGTCCCGGTCTGGACTAAGTTTCAGTAGAGTTTCTGGTTAGCTTGATCAAGGGACACCCTGAAATTTCCGTAGAGATAATCATAGCTATGTATTTTTTCAATTAAGGATTGGACGGTTGATATTACTGGGATGTAATCATGGGTTTGTAATACAATGGAAGTTACTGATATTGTATTTTTTTTGTTTAGGCCAATTCTGGTTTTGTATTTAAATCAAACTGAATTCAGTTTTCGACTAATTTGAGTTGAGCATGATGGATTCTTTTATTATGTGCTTGATTGATTGTAGGGAGAAGTAGGGATAAAAGAATTACGGTATGAAAAGACCTGAGCAAAGAGAAAACGAGTAAAATACTGATAGAGTTTTAGGCTGTTTAGATTGAAGGAAAAAGGTGAAAAAAAAAAAAAAGTTGAGTGCTCTTTCTACTTGTTAGGATCAATAGAGAAATGTAAAGCTCGCAAAATGAGCTATTCAACCTATTCAGGTCAAACCTTGCAATATAACTCAAGTAGTGAGAGCTACCATGTTATTTGAAAGATGATCAGGTTGGAATCCTGGGCTTTGAAAATTCTTACATCCCCTTTTCCTTTCTCTAGTAACAAAAAAAAAGCTATCCAGGGTCAACGGTTGTGTATGGTAAGTAATAACAGTTAGAGTAAAAATGTTTGAATTTGATACAACTTTATAAAAATTAAAAATTAAAGTTAAATTTTTGTTTTTAGTTTTTGCAAGTTTAGTTTGTATTATGTTTAATCAAATTGGATGAAAATTTTTAAAATTTAACTTGAGCTCAAGTTTTAAAATTTAAGCCTTACATATAAGTTAAGTTTGGACTGATTCCATTGGACATATTCATTTTGTTAGCTCTAAAAATGAACCGAAAGAAATATAATACTTTTTTAACCTTGATAAAATAAAATAGAATCAATTGGGTCTCACGCTAAATATGTGAAAAGAATAGATAAATTAAAAAATAAATTATTTCTTTAAATTTTGAACTTTTAATTTATTTGAGGAGAGAAAAGTTATCTGTTAACTTCACCGATATTTCTCCCCCTTTTTCTTAGTGTTTCCCCGAAATTAAAGGTAAAAAAACAGTAAGGGAGAAAATAGTGACATGCATCTTTATTGCTTTTAATTTCTCTTGAAACACTGTTAAAGGGCATAACTCTTCTAGTTTTTATTCATCAAAGTTAAATTCAAAAATTTATTTAAAATGAATTAAAATTTATACTAAAACAAACGTGAGTGGTTAAAAAATCTAATTAATTTTCTACTTAAAAAATAAAATATTTAACCATATGATTTTTTAGAAACTTGTGGAAGTTTTGAGGGTAAATGAGTTTATAAGCATTTGGTAAAATAAAAAAGTTCAAAATTAATTATTTATTAAATGGTTATGAGAAGCTAATATGCCTGCTGATGCTTTGGCCAAAAACGGACAAAAGGTTCAATATATGATAGTTTTTTTAATACTGTTCCTAGCCTTCTGTCTTTGCCTTTATTTCACGACTTCTCTTCCAGTATTGTTCCCAGAGGGTTTGCTTTGTAATTCCTTGGGACAAAGCCCCTTTTTTCAACCAAAAAAAATGGTGATAAAAATCTAATTACCTTTTACTGTGATTTCTCTCTCTAAAACTAGGATGACATTATAGAACTTCATAACTTTTCATCATTATTCCTTTGTTAGAGTTTTTTTATTGCTAATATCTCTTTAAACTCTCATTGAAGTCCACTTAATAATGTTTATTTAATTTATTAACTTGTGTTACTGTAATTGATTCAAGTAGCAAAGTTAATAAGCCATTTGTTTTAGTTCTTAAAATGAATCATTGGTTCATAAGGTGTCGTTTGGTTGGGGTATTAAGTTAGGACAAAAATGGAAGATGCATACGAAATTGCAGAACCGTAAATGAAAGGTGAAACGTCTTCTCTTCCATTTCCCTTCTTATCAAACAAACGTTGAGGGACCCATTGCGTATTTAAATACCCAAATTAACCATTTTGCTTCTTCACTTACAACATGGGTGGCGGAGGAGTTATGAGAACGGCCGCCAAGTTCGCCGTCGCCGGAATTAGGGGCGTCCCGCTGCCACAACCGGAGGCGTCATGGGACGTCGACGACTGGGAAGTTCCTGACGCCGGTGAAGTAGCGGTGGAGGCCGGTGAGACTGTGCCGACGGTAGTGTTCGGCGGTGTCCCTAGTTTTCAGGAGGCCAAGGTAGCCACTACGGAACTGAAACATGCCCTTGATAAGTATACTCTCTCTCTTACTCTCTCTGCTTCAAATATGGATAATATACACATTATGTTATAAATTATATATTTTAAAAATTCAAGTTATTGATTAAAAACATGCAAATGATTTCTATAGGTGACTTAGAAACATAGAATCACTTATGGTTATAATCACAGTTGGACTTTAAAATTTTAATGTTGTGGAAACTCATATGCCAAGTTACCAACATAATTGTGACAAAGCGTGCATGATTTTAATATAATAAAATAGTGTTGGCTGGAGATAGAATGATTTAGAATGCTTTTCTTATACTTTTATATAGTGTTATTATGTAAAAAAAATTAGTTATTTAGTTTTTAATAAATATTCACAATGTTTTATGTGATCTTTATAGAAAAATACAATCACAAAATATTTGGTTAAAAAATAGAGAGAAAAAAAAAAATGAATCTCTACCTATGCCAAGAAAATGATAGGAGAAAGTTAACTCTTAGTTTTTCACTTTTTTCCTTAGTCTCGCCATGTTATGTAATATATTATATAATTTTATTTTTTTTTACTTTAGAGATATAATAGTTTGTCTATTCAAGAAAAAAGTAAACATTTTCATTCTTTTAGCCAAATAGGAGAAAGTAAACATTTTTGTATACTAAAACTAAATATGTAGTTTTTCATCATTCTATAAAAAAAAATCTCTTATTTCTTAATTTTATATTTCTTTTCTAAACAGAACAAATTACAAATGTAAAGCAAAAAATGAAAAAAAATATAACTATGAGCTAAAAGAATATTATATTTTCATGTACTAATTCAAATCCTATATTTTTTTTCAAAGATATTAAATAATCAAAGTTGGTGAACTCTATCAAAAGATAAATTGAAAATTTTTAAATACTTTTAACAATAATAATATTCATATGCCTATGCACAATATCTTTTCTTGCATTTTTTTTTATCTTTTCTCTTTAGCACATTATATTTCTTTACTACATTTTTTATGATTTTCTCTTATTCTTTTTATCTCGTTTTTCCAACTTAAAATCTAACATGATTTGTTGCCCTGTTTCGATACACACACCACATGCTATGTGAGGTATGCATTACCTTATATCAACTACTAACATCCTAATTATCATATTTTAGGATATACCTCTCTTCAAATTCTGCTAAATGCAATGGTTCTTCTCATTCTGAGTCGGAGAACAAATCTCTTGTCAGTGAGGCTATCACAAATCCTTCACCGCCAAACCGTGCTTTACAGGCTTTTCAATTGCTTAGTGAAAGTTCTGAGGCCCAGGTAATCGGTAAAGTTTATTTATTTATTATTATTGTTGTTTATCTTCTTTGAAGAATATAACTTAAGGTAATTTATTTGGAACAAGATCTAAACAAATTTAGTTATCCATGTTCTGTGAACAAAAATTAATTCAGACGAGATCATTCAAATTAGAACAATAAATTAAGGTTCTACAATTACTTATTAAAGATATAATCTTTACTTACATATTGAATTAACGTTGAAGTCACTTGTGTGATGTCTTTGACATTATCTAGAGTGTTGTCGCTTCTATTGCTTGTGACCCGAATATATGGAATGCAATCGTGCAAAATCCTGCTCTACAGGATTTCTTCCAATCACAGCACTCAGGTAATCATTCTGTTTCATGCATTACATTACCCTTCTAATCATTTTTTTGGATATTATTCAAAGCAATTTGTGCTGATGCAGCTGGTTTTGAATTAGGGGGAAGTCTTGATCAGAAAGTGGGAATGGGAATGGGAGTGGGAGAGTTATCTCTTTCTGATTCGCTCAATATTCTCCATAACGTGAAGCTTACCGTGGCTGAAATGGTAGCTAGCGTGTCAAATTACTTTCACAATGTGTTTGGGTTCTTAACTGGTCACAAATCTTCAGCTAGTGGAAATACAAAAGCAAACTTCATGGATCCTTTCACTATGGGAGGAACTTTTATGGGATTGGCTGTGTTGGTGGTGATGGTGATAGTTCTGAAACGAGCTTAGTTTGCTCAACCCTCCAATTAACTATGACTATGTTTTAACTTTTGCTTGAATAAATAATTTATAAGGAAAGTGCTAAATATGAAGTGCACTTTTGGGTACATGATATGAAACTGTGCGTTACTTTTTTTACGTTCTGTTCTTACATTCGATAGCCATGCAGCCAGCATAGTGTTTTAGTCTGACTAATTAATATTAATATGTAACGAGTTGATTTTGTCATTGTGGACTAGGTTTTATATTTCTTTTCATGTTATTGCATTTTGATTAATCTGCTGACCCGATCAAAGCAGATAGCCCATTAAAGACAACAAATTTCAGTTTGATTAAAACAAAACAAAATGTTCTTTAAAAAAAAAGGTTCTTAAAAAAAATTAGAAAAGGTATCTCTTTTCATTGCATGCAAATTGGTCAAGAATTTTGACATAATCACATCTTTTTTAGTACACGGAAGGTCCTTAGCTAGAAAAGCTCCTAGTCCTTATTTGACTCAATCCCATTTGAGCGAGAGCATAAAAATCACCTGCAAGAAGGGTAATTAGACTGTTATTTCTATATTCTTTGATTTGAAATTTACAATTACAATATATCAAATATCCTCTTTAATTATTGTCATCTATTGCTTCCCCTATCCTAACTTAGCTTTTTTGGTTTTCCGTTGACCAAACAAATTGCTTTTTAGATTTTTGGTCAACTCCTAACTTATGCTTATGTTATGCATCTACAGCCACACAGCATGGCCGTGGCTTTTAAGCTTTTACTTGGGTTGAGCTACTATTGGCCTTTTGACATCTGGACCACACCTCACCCTCACTCATGGTTCTAATTTTTTTTTTTTAAAAAGGAAAACCTGTTTCAATATATATTCGATCGTCTTCATAGGCTCATGCACAAAATATATTGGTCTTTATAACTATGTTATACTTAAAAATAAAAATAATTTTTTTTATTAATCTCAGTTTTTAAAACTGAATTTAAATATTTATAAATAAAAAAAAGTTATAAAAGTATAATAAATGATTATTTTTTTAATAAAATTTTACTATTATTAACTATTTATTCTTAGTCTTTAATAAAACTAAAAAAATAATAAAAAATTATACAACCTAAGCTTAACCCAAGTACTTCCCAACACAATTTAGCAGTGTTAAGTATTCTAACTCTAATTAATGAGCTGTGAACCAGAAAAAGCAAGACTATATATTATTATTGTCTTTGTTATAATTAAATTGGATCCACCTAGATGTGCCCACACGAGACAGAAATTATTATAAATTAAAAGTAACCATATGCGAAGATACGTGACTATAAAATGAATGTTGATAAGGGATTATAGTGGAATCCAACAAATCCAAATATATATCCGCTAATTAAATAAAAAAAAATTATATTATGAATTCTTATTAAACAATCTATTTGCCTACAAAATCATACAAAAATACCCACAATATTGAAAGATTCCTATCCACATTTTTCAAACAACGTAATCAGCCTCTTAGATTTTGCGTTCATGTCGCAAATTCAAACCACAAGAATAACTACAATGCAGCGTTTAATTACTTTTTTTTTTAAATAAAAAAAATTTATTCACCTCAACCTTTAAGATTGAAGATAAGCATTCATAAATAAAAAAAATTTATAAAAAAATACCCAATTATTATATTAAAATTATAAAAACATAATAAATATTTCTTTCTAATAAAATTTTATTATTAATGGATGTTTATTTTCAGCTCTTAGTGCTGAGGTTAACAAAACTCATAAAAAAAATTACTTAATTAAGTAACTGTTGATTAATTAAGAAAAAAAATCATGGAATTGAGTAGCAAAATTAAAAATTAAATTTTTTTTGGTAATATTTAAAATTGTAAAATAATTTGTGAAACTTATTTAATACAATTTTTTAGAGGTGAATGATAGAAGTTGAGAATTGTTTAAAGAATAAATAAAATAAAATAAGATGAAATAATGTGTTATTGTAAGCTTTACATAAAATAAAATTTAAACAATATTAAAAAAGTTTTCCTATTAAGATGTTTTAAAAACCTCTTTGAAAGAATTTATAATCAATTTATGTTTTACTTATTTTAGTAAAATTTATGGTATAATTTATTAAAAAAATTTATTTTAATAAATTTTGTTGTTTAATTTATGACATAAACTATATTTTAAAATATTAAAAAACTCTTTAATTAAGCATTATTCTTAAACTCACTCTATATAATATTTACAATTAAGGGCATGAGTGTTTCGTAAGAGTATTGGATTGTTCAAATGCAAGGATTCTCTTTGATAGTCTTGAACATTTGGTCATGGCTACTCTAACATATAGGAGCTGGTATTCATATGTAACACCGGCTGCAATACTATCCCTAGATAAATTATTTCAAAAATTAATTGTCATATATGTTTTTCTTTATAATTTACTAATAATTTAACTTTTTCTTGTCATAATTAACGTGAGATACTGGCTCGTGCCTCTGTTACTGTTTTTTTCTTTTAATTTGTTAACTTAAGAATATAACTAACAAACATATCTGATAGCTTTGACTCTATAATACCAGAAGATTATACATGTGTGCATGTGTGAAATTAAGCTGAGAGATGTCCATGTATCAAATGTTTCACAAGCATAGCACATAAGAATTACAGATGACCTGATTTTAATTTACTTTACTTCTTTTTGTTGGATACATCAGAAGGAATCGTGGAAAAAGCACTAATATTCAGTGTTGGTTTTAAATTTAGGTAATATTAATCTTGAAAGAATTAATAATCCAAGAAATATGTTAAACAATTTAAATTGGCAAAAAATATTTCCACATATCATGCAACGAAATATTAACACGTTAAGGAAAAGTTTTCGTACGGCAGATACATCAAACATTCTAGATTCATGTATCGTGTAGAATCAAAGAATAAAAACACTTCCAGTTTTGCAAGGTTCATGCCAGCACATGCAGGTTTTGCTTTCAAGTATTATCTACTTTGATTCCCGACAATTCCTAAGTCATTTTCTGTGAGCTGAATTAAAACTAATTCGAATGAACAGCAAACACTATAAACTGTAGAGGACCTCATTCAATATCGTACTCAAGCAGTGACAACTGACATACCCTACAATTAATACTATTGCACAGATGGACCAAACTAAACAAACCCTCAAGAATCAATTCTCCAATGAACCAATGGTGTTTGAGCAATGCCCCCATAGCAAAGCAACTAGAGAAAATTTATGCAATTGATAGTAACCAAACAATGGATATTTTCCATTTCTAGTGCTGTGTCACCATATTTCGACAAAGACTTAATTATAATTTTTTTGTCTAGACGAGACTTCATTATATGAAATCATCATATTCATGTGCTGACAATTGGAAAACCATGAAATTAAATGCGTTTTCGTTTCTCAGCGGCTTCAACCTAGCTTATTCGTGTGTGGGACAAAATTTCCTACTACAAGATTTATCATTTATGTGGCTTCTTTCGTCCATATCAGTCAATTTCCTTTTATAGTAGAAACAAAAAGTGATTGAGTTCTCTAGATGGAAATTGATTAAATGACAAAGAGCCGCAACATGTGTACCTAAACATTCTGGTGGAAAATGGGTTATGGATGTGGGACAAATTTGTAGTTATTGTACCCTTTGCGTTGGGGCGATCAAATTTCACACATCAAAATGAGAATGGAATCTCTCTTTTCTCCTTTTTTACTTCCTGAACAAAAGAAAAAAAATGAAGTCTACCAGGAAATTCGCCCCTATAATAAATTTGTGTCTTTATTCCTAAAATGCAGATGATATTCATGTGTATTATTTACTTTTTTAAGTCTTTTGGTGTAGTCTTTATTTTGTTATATATTTAATTAATTAGTTATTTGATTAAAAGAAAATTTACATCCCTCAAACCTTTAATTAACAATTTAATTTATTTAATCCACATTAAATACAATACTATAATTTCAAATCATTATTAATTAATGTTTTATGTTAAATTAGTTTTAATTAAAAAATATTAATATAAACTTTTAGAGCTGAATTTAAACAACCAGTAATAGCAAAAATTTATTAAAAAATTATAGCATTTTTATACATTTAATATAATAAATATATTTTTTAATAAAAATATAATATTTTTAAATTTTTAAACTCAAAGTTTTTATTTTTTATTTTTTTGCGTGAAATCATAAGTTCTAAAATAAGTTAAATATAAAAATATAATTTTAAAAATTTTACTTGGATTTATAAGTATTCATACATGTATAGAGTACTTATTTTATTTGCGTCTTTTAGTTTAAACTAAAAGAACTTACATTTTCCATTAGCTTTTAATAATGCAGAGGCCATCAATCATATATTTTTATGGAAGTAGAAATCGAAATGCGATGAATTTGTTAAATTACTCAATCTTGCTTAAGCAAATTCATAAGCATTTGACCTAAAACAACTTGCTAGGCCTTGCCTAAGTATTTGAAGTTTCCAATATTAAATCATAGGTACGCCTGTATTATTAAGTTGATAAATAATAAAACGTAAATGCTTGAACGTTGAGAATTTGGAAAGAGAAGTACGAGAAGGGTTTGAAAAAAAATAAAAAGAAAAAAATTAAATTCTTTCTTTATTTAGATATTTAATATTAAGATGAGAAAGTAACACGAAGTTTAATTATATAAATAATATTATATTTTATATTTTTTATTTATATTTTTTATTTTTATAAAAAATAAAAATAAATAAATATTTTTAAAAAAAAATTAAAATTTTAAAATTATTATTTTTAAAATTATTATTTTTATTTTTTATAAATATTTTTAAAAAATCATTATTTGAAAAATTAATTATTTTTTAAAAATTAAAATTCTATTTATAAAAGAGTACTAAAGAAAGGAAGATAGAAAATTTTTAAAATATGAAACTCAAAAAATAAGGATTAAAAAAGTTTTGAAAATTTTAAAAAAAATTAAATTTTTTTTTAATTAAGCAACTCTCAAACAATAAATTTTTTATAATTTTTCACTTTTCTCTGTAGATATACTATAACTTTAGTGTAATGTGAGTGTTAATTATATATTGATAGTAACTCGTCTATCAAGGAAGTATCTAAAAAGAAATCCCAAAAGGAATTATGTGATATTCATTGTCCCAAAATGCTAGTTACAATTTTGATACATGGAAGAAGTAAAATAAAACAAAATGTAAAGAAAATATGGAAGAAGTAATACCACAAAATATGAAGACATACAAATAAATTTCATTTTCGAAGATAACGTGGGGGCTAATCACTTTTAGCACGTGGAGGCCTCGCGGACCCACAAACATCACGTTCAATTTCATTGAATTTCAAGTGAAATTAAATTTATTTAAGTAAAAATCATTTTTGATGACATTTTTCCTAAGCCAACATCATTTGCTCAAGGAAATTGTAGGAAGATCAAATTTCAAAAAATTAGATTTTTTTTTTCAATTTTAACTATATATGTTTTTATTTGAACAATATAAATTAAATTTTCATTTACGTTTCTTTTTTTGCTCTCAGCCTTCTTCCTCTCTTTTTTCTCTCACTTCTACTTAATTCTTGTCATAAATTATAAAGACAAACTTAAAAATAAAATTTTATATAAAAATTAATATATACATTTTTTATCTGAACTAAATTAAATTTATTAAAAATTTATTTATTTGATAAAAGTATATATCTATTTTATTTTATTTTTAAAAAGGAAAGAATGGCAGGAATGTAAATGAAAAGGTGACGAGTGGGCAAAAGGAATATGTAGTGGAGGATAATGACGAATCTGGGAGTGACAGATAAATGTTAAGTTGATTCTTCATTCATTGGCTCTCTTATAAAAAGGTCGCAGCAGACACAACAGAATGTGGAATATGTGATGATTCCCATTTCGTTATTACACTCAACACATTTAAGATTCCAAGTTCCAACCATTTATTATTTCCTCCAATTACTTCCATGAGGTTCTTCGTTTCTTGCTTCGGAGCCACCGCCCCTACCGAGCCTCTCGCTCCGCAGCCTTCTCCCACTCTCCGCCGCCGCAACAAGCGCCATTGGAGACCCTCCCTCGGCTCCATTTCCGAGGACAACGCGCCGCCCCACAGAGACAGGCCCTCCTCCTCCGACGTCAAGAGGAGCAATAGCACCTCCAACGCCGCCACCGCAACTTCTAAGCTTCACCACCGTCACCACAGCGACGATTACGATTACGGGTAAGTCAAATAAAATCCTTTTGCACTCTGTTTCCCAATTCATCGATGCATCACTGATACGGATACGAAATTATTATAACTTTAAAGTATATTTCATGTAAAGTTTAAATATAAAAATATCATATGGTGTACAAAAATTAAAATGAAAATTTTTTGTATCGAAAGACTTAAATGATTCACAAATGATAAAAACTGATTTGTAATTTTTTTATTTGAAAAATGTAATATTTTTATGTACAAATTAAATTTAAAATAATATTCAATATATGGATTAGATTTATAAATAAACTTAGAAAAATAAATAAATAATTTATTTGAAGAGTTTGCGTGAATTTTTGTTGTTGTTACCCTGTTTTTAACGAATTGCTTATGGGGTTGGATTAGATTGCTTGTAAGTTGAAAGTTTTTAATTGCTGAATTTGGCGTTGGATTAAGTGGGTCGTATCAATAATTAAAGCGTAATCAATGAATGCCCTTTCATTTACATGATTGGTTTATTTTTGCATTCTAGTTTACTAGTAGTATCTTTTAGTCAATTCCATCGCCAACCTGTCAATTTCTTATTTTGCCATATTTAATTCTACTAACTAAAATATTAAAAACTCTCACCATTTAAAATGTAAAGAGATTCGAAGAAAAATAAACGAAAACAAGTGAAACTCAAATACTTCTTATTAGACTTTAAAAATGGCTATTTATAAGCCTTTATAAAACAGAACAACAAAAGTTTACCGTCCACCTAAACAACTATTTCCATGATAAATCTAAACAAAATTAAAAAAAAATTACGTGCACTATCCTTAGAAATAGGTAGTTTATTAACAGAATCTAAACAAACATCTAACTTAAAGGACTTAAATTTTATAGTAAAAGTGATTCTACTCACTAAGTTTATCAAATAGGTTAAAAGAAGGTTTTTGGTGTATGACTCAGTGATAGGGATGGATGGAAGGAGTTAAGGGAGGTTTCAAAACAAAAATTCTTGTTAAAAAATTTGTGAGTGTGTGTTTTTAATTTAATCACCAATTTTTTTACATTAAATTTTTGTTTTGATTTTTCATATATTTTTAATGCTGCAGGCGAGCTGCTGCGCCCGCGATTATGCCAGCATTTTCTCCGACGCCATTCATGTTCTGAAATTACAGTTGTAGTAGTATGTTTATTATTAAGAAACATTTGTACATATTAATATATGATTTAGGACAAAATAAAAAGTTTGTATATCATGTGTTGTTGTAAATTAAAGTAGCCTCTGTCACAGTGTCGCATGTACATATTGAGTTCTTTTCATGTTCATTCTCAGATGATATATGTAATTAAAAATACCAATTCAAGGCCCGGATTTCCTGACCTCAGTTTGACACAATTTTAGTATTCAATTACATTTAACAATTCAAAATCATTTTTATTTACTTTTGAATTGAACAGCCATTATGTCATGGCACAATTGATTTTGAAGTTATTAATGGCCTGTTGGCTCTAAAATCAATTCTATTGAAAAAATAAATAAATAACTCATGTGTAACATGCTTTGGATTTTGACATAATGCACTGTGATAATCCATTTTCCAAAGTATTTGTCCTCTGGATCAATTGTTGAAGCGAACAATGTTCTCTGTCCCAAGGCCCAAATTAGATGAGAATCATTCTAATTAAGTGTCGTAGTGATGTGTTTTTCTTTGAGGAACTTAAAACAAAAAAAAGTTTTATTAACTCCAGTACTACTTAAAGTTAAGGATAAATATCTACAAATAATTTTTTTTTATCAAAAAATATATAATTATTGTATTAAAGTTATAAAAATATAATAAATATTTTTTAATAAAATTTTACTATTATTAATGGCTTATAAATATTAAAATTAACAAAATAAAAAAATATCAATTTCTAAAAGTGATATTTTCAGGAAAACAAAAAGCCCACAACATAAAATTACAACGTTTCTCATAAAATTGGTGTAAATACAAAATTAATCACCATAAAATTCACCATTTCACAAAATTAGTATTTATAATACATTTTTGAAAAAGTTTTATGAAGTGTCAACAACTTATGAAATTCTTCTTAACAAGTTTCTTTAAACTTTTTGTATTAAAAAAATTAATTTAAAGTCATTTTAAATTTCTCACATTTAATGTTAACAACTTACTAATACCTTCAACCATGCAAAAAAAATAAAATTCTTTATTATTTTAAACTTTTTCATTTTTTTTCTCATCATTTTTCAATGAAATTGCGTTTGCGAATTTATTTATTTTAACATTTATGATACGCACAATGTAAATATTATTAAACTTCCCTCCTTTTTTTGTTCATTTGATTTTATTGAAATAAAATGCTCTTCATAAATGAAGTAATGCACTTAACATAACGATCTTATCAAGAGGTTAAAAATTAAAGAATAAGGTTCTAAAAGAAAGTCATGTAATCTCATCTTCCTCTGAAGAGAGAGTATTTTAGAGAAAGTAATGCTAATAAATTTGAAATTGAAATTAATTCTCAAAAATTGTGATGTGATTATAATGGACCTGGATGGGATGAAGATACACGCATTAACGGCAGCTCAATGCGATTTTGTTTCTCTCTTCACATTTTCACTGCATCGTTCCGAGTCACGATTTTAGTTCTCCCTTTTCCAAATAATCCTAGTTTGCTTGATGAGTTTTGAAATACAACAAAGAAGTAAAGCAGAAAATGCTTCCAGTTTTGCTTGATTGTGTCAAGCATTGTTAGTTAGAAGCAGAAGAGTTGCTCGAAAACAATTTCTTAAGATGAAACTCTCAACTCCACTTCATATCTATGAAACAAAAACAAGGTAGTTGAAGCACCATTTTGAGCTAACTCTGCTTTCTATAGCCATTACAACATTACTAATGAAACTCTAGCTTCATCTTCGTATAACTCTCACATTTTCTATTCACTCAAAGTTTTAAAACCTAACATTCCAGGTCGCGATTTTGAAGCTCTTTTGCAATAGATCGAGTTCATTCGATCTCAATTGTTTCGTGCTCCAAACACCATCGAACAATATAGTAAGAGTGGTTCAAAAAAATTTCGGGTACACTGCATCTTTAATTTTTTATTTTTAGTTCTATTCGTCTTCCAAATTTCACTGTATATTTATTTTTCAATATAGTTGCATTATAGAATAATCCGACAAAACAATGTTGCTTAAATTCAATCTCCTGTAAACTTCTAATCTTGCTAAGGCTATTTAGCAATATTCAATAAAGTTTTTTTGATTGTTTAGGTAACCAGGACCACAAGACTATGCATGCGAATCCGGGTCTCTCTAACACCTCTCTCTTAAGCCTTCTTTTGAGCAAAATCTTGACCATATTCAAAAAAATTAATGGTTGAGATGAATCAATAACAAATAAAATTAATATGTGTATAGTTAATCGCAACTGTTAAATATAAAAATTAGTTATCAAAGTTTTAATAAAACAGTGTTGGAGAAAGATGTGAGAAAATATTCAAATTGCTATGCATGCATGCATTGCAATAAAAGCTAACCTTTTAATAAAAAGTTTTAATAATTTTTTAATAAAAAATATTTACTATGTTTTTAAAGTAATAATATTCTTTTAAAAATTTAACATATTTAGTTATATAAAATTAGCTCCAACAATTAATATTAATATTTTTCTTCAAATAAACCAACTGTGCAGGATATTTTTCTTCAGGGACTCAACGCAAAATCTAAAAAGAAAAAAGAAACTATTTCCTTACCAACTCCTTCAACATAACACAATTATCCTGCAACTCCACCTTCCAATCCACTAAACGTATCATAAAGAGGTTGGTTCAACGTCTCAGGAAGAAAAAACGCAAATGCCCCTCCAATCATCCCACACGCCGCAAACACCGCAAACGGCAGCCAACCACCCAAAACGACAACAAACGGCGCCAAAATAGCACCCATCTGCGCCGCCTGAGTTGTACTCCCAAGCGCGGCGTTCCTCACCACAGTAGGAAACAGCTCCGCCGTATAAATAAACAATAAATTATAAGTACCCGCCATCCCAAATATCCCCAAAACACCACACACCATTCTCACAACCTTCCACACCCCAACGTTACCCACTAAGCTCCCCATCAAACAAAACACCCCACTAAACCACATCGTCGCCACCGTCAACGGTTTCCTTCCAAATCTATCCAAAAGCACCGCCGTTATCATAAACGCCGGCATCTCCCCCACCGCATTAACCAACACGTTTAAGTAAAGGTTCATTCTTAAGTTCACCACGTTTAAGCTAAGCCCATAGTACACCAAAGAGCCAAAGAAGTTAAGAGCAACCGCTATTAACAACCGTACACGTGTCACCGGGGAGCGAACCACTTCCACGATGGATCCAACACGTGCACCTTTGTTTTCTAAACGTTCATTATCATTGTTTTTCTCTACTTCTTCGTCAAGTGCGAGGAGAAAACCACTGGGAAAGTGCTTCCCGTTGTAAGAAGCAATGGCGGACATGATCTTCGTGGCTTCGGTTACTCTTCCACGAACAAGGTACCATCTTGGGGATTCAGACAAAAAGGGAAGGACAAGGATAACGTAAAGGAAGGAGGGGATGGAGGAAGCTATGTAGAGATAGCGCCATGTTTGGAATATGTAAGCGATTCCTGATAGAAGTGCAATGCCTCCGGAGAAGAAGTAGAAGGTGGACATTCCTGCGGTGCCACGCTTCTTGGGGCCAATTGGTTCGGTGGCGAGGACGAAGGCGCAGAGACCTACGCCGCCGGTGCTGAAACCTGTGAGGAGTCGAAGGAGGACGTAGGTGAAGTAGTTATGGGTTAGTGGTGTTAAGCAACCGAAGATGGCGTTGAGGGTGCAAACTACTCCGAGGGTGCGTTTTCTTCCAAGAAAGGAGTCTGAGAGGTGGCCAAATACTCCAGCACCTGAAATTCCAATGTCAATGTCATGTTGTTTTTTTTTATTATTATTATTTATTTAGAAGAATAGTTTATATTTGGTGTCAATATTAGAGAGAAATAATAGATGTTATGAATAATACGACCTGACTGGAAGATTGATAAATGGACAAAATGAAAACAGGATATTAAAATGAGGGAGATGAACGCTGAGTATGAAAGAATGAAAAAAGAGAAAAAGAAAACAGTAAGATGAAAGAAAATGAATGTAAAAGAAGTTAGAAAAACATATATAAAAGAAAGTCAAAATATTTTATCATGGAAAAAAGAGTATTTGATCTTTGAAATTTCATTTCACTAAAATTAATATATATATATATATATATATATATATATATATATATAATACTGTAATAATAGTATAATAAAAAGAAGAAATATATTAACTTCACTCCTTAGTGCTAACTTTAATATCTAACAATAATAATAATTTATTAATAATAGTCGTTATAATTTTAATACAATAAATTTATTTTTTATAAAATTTTATTAGTTTCTATTATTTAAAAAGACTAAATAATAATAGTATTAATTTTATAAAATAACTAAATCATTACCTTTAATTTTATTTATAAGAAATAAATACTTAATTTATATAAATCAATAAAACATAGTTATCTTTTATTAATTTATATTTTATTTTAAAATATTTATAGTATTTAATAGTTAAATTAGTGTATTATTATATTATATAAATTAATATATTCAATTATATAAATATTAAATAAATACTCTTTCAATATAAATCTCACACTAAATAAAAATATAAAAACTTTGATAATTAATATATTATAAATATATAATTTTTATTATTATGACAAATAAATATTAACAATTATTTCTTATAATAATTTTTTGATATGTTCTCAAAAATATATAATAAAATTATATTAATAAATTTTTAAAAAATAATAAAATGTTATAAAATTTAATGTATTAGACATTGAAACAAGTATGCTTATAGTAAACAAGGAACGATTTCTATCATAAGAAATTGTAATTTCCAATAAATAATAAGGACCCACATTTAAAGTTGCACCAACCAATAGATATACCCTTCACCAACGATTTCCATCATAATAAATTGTCACTTCCCAATAAATAACAAGGACCCACCTTCATTGTTTCATCAATTATGCTTAATTATATATATTAAAGAAAAAATTTAGATAAGGTATTGTGGGTATTTTAATGTTATTTTTATTTAAAATTAATATTTTATTTAATAATTTACATAATAAAATTAATATTAAAAATTTAGATAAAATAGTCCATGCTGGTAATTTAAAAGATTAAAATGAGTACTTAGTGAGTTAAAATGCCTCATCCCGATTGAAGGAGGCAAAGTAATAATAAAACGTGGGAGTGAGAGGCTAATAAAGTAATAATAAAATGCAAGCAAAAGAAAGTTACCATTAGAAGAGAAAGGGTGGCCGCCATGGAATAAACATAATTATGCAACTAATTCCATTAATGTTAACATTATTTGCTTGTTGATCAAACTTTAACTCTCACATAACTCACATACATTCCTTTTTCTTATCTCCCGATCAAAGAAAAAAACAAAGAAATCTGAAAGCAATTTTAAAAGTAGATTCCGTGGGAACGCAAGAGTTCACCAAAAAAAAGAAAAAGTTTTTATTTGTTACCTTAGCATTTGAAAAAATGTTTTTTTTTTCTATTTTATGTGAAAACAATAGTCCGGTCGTACAAGATTGATTCTGATTGTTTTTAGGGTGTATTACACTGCTATATAAGTTAATCTCTCTTAATTATTTAAACTGAAGGCCTTAGCTTATTCCAATACCAAAAATAAATATTCCTCTTAAAATTAAATTATATTCCTCTTAAAATTAAATTAAGCACTTTAACTTTAAATAAATAAATAAATAAATCGTTTTCTTTTATAAATTTTATTGATCATTTTTTTTCTAAATTGAATTTCATTATAAAAATAGTATAATAAACACAAAATATAGGGGATACTTTTGTTATTATTTTATTGCCATGCATATCGGTGGCCCTCTACCTAACTATGAATGATATTCTTCCATTCCATGTCAAATTTGGATAAATTCCTTTTATCCATGATTGTCTAAATTAAATTTGTAGCACTGTTGTGGGAGTTATCATATATAATTGTAGAAATTTATACTCATAATTTATACACACACGTCAAAAAAATAATTGTGAAAAAAATTTATTTTCTTACTGAAAATATCCTTGCAATCAAATACTTCTTCCCACTCCTTCAATAAAAGTAATAATATTTATTTTATTTTAATTATTAAAGATATAAGTTCATTTTGCTTATATTAATTACTATTTATTTGTAATAAAATATTTAAAAGTTTATAAAATAAAATATAATTTTTTATCATATTATTTATTTATTTTTATTAAAATTTATAATGAAAATAATGTAGAAAATGTCAATCATTTAACGAAGATTGAGTGTGACAAAAAGTGGTGGATAAGTTGATTAAAAGTTTAAAAATCTACCGTTGAAAATTATGATTGAAAATCGGTTAAATCAATTTATTGAAAAATATTGAATAGGCGCGGGCACACACACATTTAGGCAATCAAATTTTATATAATTTTATGAATTTTAAACAGTATTCTTTATTACAAATCAAACATTTATTTAAAATTAAAAATAAATAATGTAATTATTAAAATAATATCAAAGAAAGAAATTTTTTAAAATAATTGAATACTATTAAATGGAACGATAAATAAAAAATTATTAAAATGGTGTTGATAAAAACAAAAACTACACTCAAACGTTACTTCAAATCATTTATAGTAAAATATTCTAAGTAATGCCATAAGTTCGTTCAATCATTTTTTTAAATAAACTTAATAATTAAACTATAAACTACTGAGAAACTTATCAAATACACTCGTAAAATAAAATAATATATGCATATATGAAATATATTGTGCACTTTTCTCTACAAACATGATTTTTTGTACTTTCAATTTTATTATTATTTTTTCTTTCTCATCTAATTCATGAGGAATTTTTCTCTCTTTTCCTCCAAGGATATATACACCATAAGGAACATGAAAAAAATGAATATTCTTTTCTTTAATCATGTAACTAAACTTCTAAGCATGACATTGATCAGCACACATGGGATATGGTGCAGTATCTGATATTTTAGGTTTATTACAACATTTACCAATTTATGTCCCTTTTACAACTTACATCAATTAATCACATGTTCTTTGGCTTCATTTAATTTTGTAGTCACACAAAAAGAATTTTATTATTACATATGAAGCCGACGAGTCTATAATTTATTATTTTGAAAAAAATAACTTCAGTCATAAAAATAAGCAATTAAAAGTGAAAAAATATTTATCTTATAATATTAGAATATTTTAAACATTGTATTTTTAATAAAAAATATTTTTATAAATATTTGAAATTAATTTTAAAGATTGACGTAAATGAAGAAGAGAAAATGAACAAACCGATCATAGAGCCGACGAAGAACAAAGCATGTACCAACCCAACCTTAAATTTCTCGCCGCAAATCAAACCCCACTCCGACACGGTGGAGCCGCCGCGCCCTCCGATCCACTCCCACGAGCCAGGTTTGAGGCCACAGACGCTCCCGGCGGCGGCGTTGCAACCGTAACCGGCGGAACCATGGAGGCACCTCCAGAGAGGTTGACGGTCGGCAAAAATGATGAGCATGGAGTGAAAGGCTGCGAGGACCCAAGCGAGGCTTGTGAGGACGAAGTGCTTAAGCTGCCACCGTCCGAACTCGCCGCAGTAGTTCTGCAACATGTCGTCGATGCACATCTTCTTCACCGGCGAGTTATTGGATTCTAAGGGCAACGTGGTGGGTATCTCAGCACTTTCCATTTTCCGTTCTCTCTGTTGTTTCACTATAAATTTGTGTGTTCACTTGTGTATATAATAAGGACACACCTGAATACTGCTCAGATAGAAACTTACAAAATATACCACAGATACTGTGATAATAAAATAAAGTAATATTAACATTTTCATTTAAATATATAATATTACCGTAGTCATTGCTTTTTTCCAGATGGGAGAATGGAGAATATTTTTAGTTTAATATTTTTAAGATGTGTGTTTTTAACTTTTTATAGCAAGTAATTTTGTTGGAGGTCGAGTAATGACATTTATACTACAGTGAGCTCTTTCTTTTTAATTCTTTTTCGCACACAATATTTGAATGTAAGGTCGTATTTAGAAGGAATTAAGTATGTACTAATTAAACTAATTTTAATTGTTAATAGTTTAATTTTTATTGAGATGTGCTATTTTCACTTTATATTTATGTTATAATGTTAATGATAAGGAGGAGGATATATTAGAAATATAAATAAAAAAAATTATTGAAAAATTTTACATAACAATTTTTTATTTGAGACATAGTATTTGAAAGTTGTATTAAATTTTGACTAATTTGATTTGAATTAGTCGACGAACAATAGATACATCTAAGAGAATACATTTTCTGAACGATAATTTTTTTAATCATCTGTAAAAGTTAAACTTATACATGATGAAAAATTAAAATTCTTTGATACACTTAGCTTAACGGACATTGGTTACATAATAAATTAAGTCGTTAAACAAAATACTTCTTTAAACAATACAAGTATTTATAATTATATAATTATTGGAGTTTGATTCTTATTCGTTTAGGTTTTTTTATGATAGTTTGATTTTTGATATAATGTTGAGAACATTTATTAATTGTCCTTACTTCAAACATAAAGAACTTTTATATGATGGAATATTTTTAATTTAAAATCATTTTTAAAATATTAAAAATAAATAAATTTTTAGAATTATTAATTTTTTATATATAAAAGCGTAATTAAATGATTAATTTTAATCAAATTAAAAATTGAAGGCTTGTTATTAATTACTGTGAAATGATGGGATCCAGGTGAGGTTGAAGCTGTGGTTAGGAATAACAATGGGTAGGGCACTATAGTACCCATCCTTATACTCGCGTTTTAAAAAAATATTCCTACCCAGTCCTATATCCGCGTGCGTATAAACATTAATCTCTGTACCCGTACTCTCTGGGTACTCGCATACCTATCTTGTACCCATTATTCGCGCTTATTTAAGAAAAAAAATTTATAAAGAAAAATATGTTTATATAATTTCACATAAGTAACATAATAATACAAAAATTCAATATGTAGTTGCCGAACAAGGTACAAACATAAATAAAAAATAAATATTTAAAGATCACAAGTGTTAAATGTATCTTAATATAATAATTTTATAAAATAAAATTCTTATAAATAATTAGCAAAACTAAACACACAAGTTATTTGTTATCAATAACTCTATCTTGTGTGAGATTCGATCAATCGACAGCGTCAGAGCGACAACGAAATAGATCTGCATAATGGGTGGCCCTTTGTATGGGATTAATTGATGACCTCTTGTGGCGGCATTGTTAACTAACTCTAATGAATAACATTTCATAGTTATTAAGTTTTAATGAGACAAACATTGAAAATGAGAATAAAGTTAAGGTAGAGAAGTTCAAGTACTAACAACAAAAAGTGAATATATAAAATTTTTTTTTAACTTTTGAATTTGAAATTGTAAGAAAAATAATATATTTAATTAAAATAATATATATATATATATATATATATATATTAGTACTAATATTTTTAACTCATATACTATATGGAAGTATTTTGTCAAAAATACAAATTTTTTAAAAATTATTTTAATAAATTAAATATTTATAATATATATAAATTTTAAAAGAAAGAATTTGAATAAAAGATAAATGGTCACAATAAAATTTTATAATAAAAAAATATGTGTATATAAAAAAAATTATACTTTTTTATCTGATAAAAAAATTAACAATAATTTTTTATATTTTATATCTTTTCAAAAATTTATTTGAACATAAATAAATAGTAAAAATAATATTATTTAAATTCAATAGATTATAGTTGTACTTCTAATATATATGTTGCATAGAAAAATATTATTTTAAATTAAAATATAAAAAATAAAATTTAAATATATCAATAAATAATAAGTTTACGGTAATAATAAATGATTGTAAAATTTATAAATTATTTACAATATGTTTATTATTTATCATTCACTTTATGATTTAAATATCAATATGATTTTATTAACAAAAATATTTATGTGAAAAATATTTTATGTGTGTTATATATAAATAATATTTTTAAAAAAGTCAATCTTATATCAACTATATAATAATTAAATAATATTAAATAGTAAATAAATTTTTCTATTAAAAATATAAACAAAAATATTTTTTTTGTTTACTTTGTTATTAAATATATTTTTATGTTAATCTTATTTAACTTCATATAAGTAATATAATAATATAAAAATTCAATATATAGTGGTAGAATTAATACTCTATCTCTGTAGGTAAATTTTATGGGTGTTCATCGAATACTTTACCCATTATCATTCCTAGCTGTGGTAGTATTTGTGAGATTATTTGGAACTTCAAGAGATGATTCTCTCGTACGTTTGTCTTTTTGGGATTTGATAGATTAGTGAGTTAGGTTTGATGGATATGACTAAGTGATTCCTCACCAACTAATTTCTTTAGGGCTTTTTGAATATTTGAAAATAGAAATAAAGCACTTGAAGAAGAAAGAACGAGGAACAAAAGTTAATAATTTTTTTAAAATTTTGAAAAGCTTAAAAAATATATTTAAGAAACTTTATCATTTTTTATATTTAAAACTTCTTAAATTATTATTATTAATTAAGTTTTTCTTTTTTTTTCTATCCAAAAATTAACTATCAAACAAATTTAAAAATTTTTATACTCAATTGAAGAATACAATTCTAATAACATATTCTTACATACATAAAAATTATTTTAGCTATAAGATATATAAAATAAATTTAGATAAGGTAATTAAATTAGGCTTTTACCTTTAGCAAAAAAAAAAATTAGGCTTTTACATGCTCGTATATAATGTTTGTCTGATCAAATAAGTTTTTTAAAAAATAAAATTAAGTTATTTGGTAAAAGATCATATTTCTTAAAATATAATATATTTTAAAAACTTTATTTCATATACTATTTGAGTTTATAAATTCTTAATTCTTTTATTTTTATTCTCATTTTATTAAAAATGATTTTTTTTTTTTATGTTCAAAAAGCCTTAACACTTACTCATACTATCAAATATTAGTTTTCTAAATTATTTTTTAAGCATAAATAAATCCTTGATTCTACAAAAATCAATCATAACCAAAATCTAAAACCAAAAGCTGCTAAAGTTTTTTTTTCTTTAACATTCATGTATGTGTGTAAATTTGACACAATGTCTACAAGCACAATACAACAAGATACATCTTATTCACTCTTCCATTCTTATCTTTCTTCTATGCCAATAGTAAATATATATCATTGAAGTATCAAATGTATATCAACGCTAAGTTTTCTATAATTTACGGTGCTCCCAAAATTTTTTATTTCATTCAAGAAATAGCCACAAAGAACAAAAAACAAACATTATTTATAGATTTGACTCTCCTAATTAGAGAAATAATATAAAGTAAAAAAATTTAAAAGTATATTTGAATTGACTAAAAAAGAGAGATATAAAAGGGGGGGGGGGGGGAATTGACAAAAGAGAAAAGAAAAAGAAGGAAAGAGAAAACAAAAAAACATGTTAAATGATGTAATAGATAAAGAAAAAGAGGGATATATAGAAAAAAAATAGTGTAAAAAATATGCAAAAAAAAAGTAAAAAAAAATTAAATTTTAAAAATAAAGATTGTTAGAAATTTAAAGTGATTTTTTTAAAATTAAAAAATAATTTTATATTTAAATATAGAAAAACTAATTAACTAAAATATAAAATTTTATTTCAATGGCATGTTTATTAAAAAATAATTATAATATATATATATATATATATATGTTATTCATTTATTATCTCGACACTTTTTTTATATAGAACGTATATATTATATATTATTTAAAATTCAGTGCATGAGTGACTCTTCAACGTCTCAGTGTGTGTTATCTTTTTCTTCTTTTGTCTAACTTTCAATGAACATTACAAAACATGTTTTTGAAAATGTCACTTTTTCTTTTCTAGATTAGATTAGAAATTGAGTTTTAACGTCTAACTGTTGATTATGTGCTGACGAGACAAGATAAACTGGTTTTATTAGGTTGGTTTAATAATATATATATATATATATATATATATATATATATATATTGATTAAATTTAAAGTTTAAATATATTTGAATTATTATTTTTAATAATAATAATATCAGGAGCAATAATAATAATTAGGGGTGTCCATTGGATCGGGTAAACCAATAAACCCGATAATCCAAACCGATCCAAACTAAAAAAAATCCAAACCAATGCTTAACGGGTCCGATCCGAACCAAACCGATCAAACCCGACGTGGTTTGGTTTGGATAACGGGTATTACTATATCAACCCGATAACCTGTGTTTATACCCGATGAACCCGAGCAAATTCACTTTGAAGAGCGGTTTGGAGAGCAGTTCAATTTCAACCGCTCTCAGAAGTGACCTTTGGAGAGCGGTTATATTGGAACCGCTCTGCAAATGTTGCACCCCTTAACCTAGTTACGCCGCTGGTGAGGACAACCGCCATTAACCTGTTTTGTTGTTCTGCTACAGCTCAACTTGGATTTCTCTCGCTTCCGCATCTCAAATCTGAATCAAAGTGAGTATATGTCTAATTTTTTCTCTACTTTTTCTATTTTTAATTTTTACTCTGCTCTGAAATCTGTTTATACTTATGATTTTGCAGCCCACAAATGGCAAATAACAGTGAAACTGCTGAGAATACCCCAACAAGCTCAAGTGGCATGGAACTACAACAAGGTGGTGTAGACACTCC